AAGTTTGCTCCACCTGGTTTACATGTTAATGCATCAGTAATGATAATCAGTATCATAGGATAATAACATGATGACGATGTTATTGGTATTTTCAGTAAGTCAGTAACAGAAGTGGAAACTGGCTGTTCCTCATGTTTCCCTGTGAGACACTGAATCATGTCGTATTCACACACAGTACACACTGATGAATACATGAATGTGATGTCTTTGTGATCGTTCCACCACTCACAGGGGACAAACTCTGTATGTGATGTATTTGTCTCTGTGGCACGTCTACACTCTGTGTCAGACCTGATTTCACCCTCTCGCTCCACAGTCAGTATGAGCTGATTAGACTCTGATTTTGTGCTGAGCTCAGCAGGATTTGTTCTGCAAGAGCTTCAGCTGTTTCTGCCACAGCAGAACAATCCCCTTTGTATGACTGCAGAATGGTAATTGTATTTGGCCTTTAGTAAACTCTCTCTCACGCCATCATCACCTCACGGGTTGTAAAATCAGCAGAACAAATCAAACTGAAAGAAAACAAAAACTGCCGATGAAGCAGAGTCAGTGTTTAAAATGCAGATCACCAGTTTTTCTCTGTAGGATGAAAACCACAAACGCATCACACTGTATTTATCATAAATATTATAATTAAGCTTTAAAGAAGAAAGTAGAAATATATGATGCTGCAGAACAATTTAGTAAAGTTTGAGTTTCCTGGGGTGAAAGTCCAGGACTGGAATTTTAATTAGATGGAAGCTGGACTCTGACCTGGAGAAAATCTCTCTAACATCCCTGTGACGACGACCCCCCCCCCCCCCCCCCCCCCCCGGAGGCTCTGTGTATCAGGCCGCTGAAATACTGACACTTTACTGACATAAGGTCTTAGATACTAAGACATTAAATTCCACTTTTCATGCACAAACACAAAACATATATCCTCATCAGATATGAGTCTGAACATGTTCTGTGTTATTACATTATTAGATTAAATCCCACTGTAGCAGTGGATTGGCTGAATTATTAAAGGTCTTTGACCTGCAGCTAAATTCTTTAAAAAGATCTGCAGCATGCACGTTCACACATTCATATGTTCACACGTTCACACGTTCACAAACTCTTCTGTCCACTGTGATTTCATCAGTATTCACAGTCGGTTCTTTATTGCTTTTCATCTTCACTGAAGCTGAACAAACTGTGGAACCAAAATAATCAATTAATGATAATTTGGAAAGTAATTTTTTCCTCTTCATATTTCTGAGAGATTTATCTTTGATCTTCAGTGGGTTTAAACTTTATGACCTTATGAATTAAACTTGACTTCCTTCAGTGTCCCAGTAAGACGTTTGGCAGCTTCGAGTCTACGAAGGGTTTCCCGGATGATGTGATCCAGTTCGCCCGTCACCACCCTCTCATGTACAACCCGGTTTACCCGATGAGCCGGCGGCCTGTCTTCGTCAGGACTAACGTGGACTACAGCTTCACTCAGATCGCTGTGGACAGAGTCAGCGCCGCCGACGGACAGTATGACGTCATGTTCATAGGAACAGGTGAGTGATCTGATGTTTTACTTTACATTTAAACATGACAACAATGAAACAGCATGTTACAACACTGTAGCTGTTCACCTGTACCTGTCTCAGACAAAGGGACGGTCCTCAAGGTGATCAATGTCCCCAAGGAGAGCTGGAACAACATGGAGGAGCTTCTGCTGGAAGAGCTGGAGGTCTTCAAAGTAAGTGACACGATCAGACTGAGAAAACATGGCCGCTCCCACATGTTCAATCATTTGTCTTTCATAATGAAAGTGAGGTCATTAACGATCTGTGTCTCCGCTGCTCGTCAGGATGCGTCATCCATCATCAACATGCAGATCTCATCAAAACGGGTAAGAACCTGTTTAATGAGCTAAACTGACTGAAGTGAATCAAAGTGTCTGTTGTACAGCTTATAATAGAGTCCAGTGGTTCCCCACAGGTCGGTCGTTGTAAGTGGACCGATAAATCATTTGCCAAACACGACAATTTTGGTGAAAAGGTGTAATTATAAAAAATATATATATAAAAAATGTTTTTAAAACAAAATGATCTTTAGAAAATTATAGATGTTGAAAGTGTCCTTTCATTATTATTTCTTTTTGTATTGAGGCCTATCACTGTGATGAGTCAGTGATGATGATCAGTCTGATTGTGCACTAAAAGATCACACCCATGGAGCATCAAAATGGATAGCTCGTTAGCAACAAGGAAAATTTAAAGAAAAGAGAGTCAAGAGCTGAGAGAATGTATTATTTGGCCTGCGTATCGTTACATGGTCAGTTGTGGGCGCCAACATTTTTGAGATTTTCAAGTGTCCCTGACCTGGAACAGGTTGGGAACCACTGCTGTTGTCACCAGTAGAAGTGCCACATGCACAGAAAGCTGCGTGGTTGGATTCAAACTGAATGTGTGTCTGATGTGGACACAGTTTAAACCTCATCCCTCTCACTTCACAGCAACAGCTGTACGTGGGCTCTGACACCGGCCTGGCGCAGGTTCCTCTCCACCGCTGCAGCGTGTATGGGAAGGCCTGCGCCGAGTGCTGCCTGGCCAGAGACCCGTACTGCGCCTGGGATGGAACATCCTGTACTCGCTACCTGCCCAACACCAAGAGGTCAGTGACATCATCACAGATGAACATGTGAACATTCATCACTTCATTCAAAAAACAAACAATAAAACCATGAAAACACAGATTCCTAAAGGTTTCACTTTGTTTTCAGACGTTTCCGTCGACAGGACGTGAGGAATGGAGACCCCAACACTCTCTGCTCTGGAGGTGAGATTCAGTCTGTGTTTTAAACACTATTAATGTGATGACAACAGTTTGAGCTGAACTATATAAGTTCATTATTATTCAAGTTACAAGTGTTTACGATGCCAAATCTCTCACATGTAAAGTTCATGTTTTACATCAATCAAACTAATCAAACGTATGAATCTTATCAAACATGTACCTTCATCATATTCTGGTGCATCAGGAAATCAGTTGTTAGTGAAGCCATGACAGCTCTGAAGCTGTGATTGGTGGAGCCGTTCAGGTTTAGAGGTGTGTTGAATAAAGAAGACAAAGCCTCGCTCTGCTGCTGCTCTGACTCACAGAGACTCTTGGTATCTGACGTCTCCCTGTCCCACGACCTCCTGCCGTGACCTCTGGTGACCCCTGTCCTCTCAGACCACAGTAGCAGCTTCTGTCTCTGTCTTTCTGCCAGAGAAGTGAATCATTGCTCAAACTGGAGGAGTAACTCGATGACATCTTGTTGTATAAAACTAATGAAGGTCAGAGTCATTTCCTCTGATGGCAGTGGCTGATCTGGAGTCTGTTGTGTGTTAGAAAAGGATCATCATGTAGAGAGGTAGAGTTTAAAAAGTCAGACAATGATTCTCTGTGATGAGCTGCTGCGTCACAATAAAAGTCCTTGTTTGATAAAAGTTGAGATCCTCCTCCTTCAGCACCGACACACTCACATGTTGTCATGATGTTGTCAGGATGTGTGAACTTTGTCATTAATCAGTGTTCACTGAGAGAAATCATATGGTTTTGTAGTTTCCTTGTGATTCTCATGTTTGAATACATTTGCTCACAAGACTGTGAACTGTTCTAATAATCTAGTTTATAGAGGAGGGGGTTTCAAGGTGAGCTTGTGTTTCATATCATCAGCTCAGGTTGTTTCTGTCCCACGTCCGGGGTCAGGTCCTCCTGTCTGTCCTCTCTTCCTTCCTCTCCTCACCTTTCTACATTGTTCTGTCTCTTCTTTCCTTGTTTTTTCCATCCTGCTCCTGTGAGCCCACACTCCAAGTTACAGCAGACCCTCCATGTCTTTGTCTCTGCTGCCCCCTGCAGACCACCATAAGCACCGTGTGGCAGAGAGGAAGCTGTATGGAGTTGAGGGAAGCAGCACTTTCCTGGAGTGTATCCCCAAATCCCTTCAGGCCAGAGTCACCTGGACCTTCCAGAAACATCCTCAGAACCCCCGAGAAGAGGTGAGGGTGAAGAGACATTTACTGACAGGTCTTAAAGGGGTTCTCCTGTACAGCTGTTCTCCTCGTGCAGATAATGTAAACTGTAGAATATAATCAGAGGCACTAAAAATGCAACTGGAATTTACTTTGTTATTGTACATGGACACACACACACACACACACACACACACACACACACACACACACACACACTTCCTTTCACAACTTTTCAGAATAAAAGCTGACAATAGCTTGAAATAAAGCAAAAAAAAAAATCCGACAAAGATATTTTTTTCTTTTTAAATAATAATAAAAATAATCTGGCGGGACAGATGTTGTTGCTGCCACCAGTTGCCGACCACTGCTGTAAATTTTATCCGCACTGATTGGTCAGCTCCTTCATCTCATCTCATTTGTGTTTTCCAGGTGCGTCTGGACGACCGCATCCTCCAGACCGACAGAGGCCTTCTCATTCGCAGAGTCCTGAAGAGAGATATCGGCCTCTACCAGTGCCACGCCATGGAGCACGGCTTCACCCAGACCTTACTCGGCATCACCTTGGAGGTTGTACCTTCAACGTCCTCCTCAGTCTCCAACCTTCCCTCTGATGCCCCTGTCCGGTTAGACCCCCGCAGCGGAGGTGGGCCTCCGATGACCAATCAGAAGCTTTGGTACCGGGACTTCATGCAGCTGGTGGACCATCCCAACCTGAGCACCGTCGACCAGATTTGTGAGCAAGTGTGGGCACGCAAGAACGCCGGCAGTGACCTGGCGGACAAGGTGTTTCCTGCTCCAGGGAAGGACGTGCCGCCTCTGGGCCCCGCCATCCGCCCAGCCAACAAGAAGTGGAAGCATCTTCAGGAGATCAGGAAGGGGAGAAACCGCCGGACCCACGACGGGAAACCAAACCCTCGCGCTCCTCGCAGCGCCGGAGAGTAACGGCACGGAGAAAGATGGAGGGAGGAAAGAACTGATACAGGGAGAGAGGAGGAGAACGACAGAAAGAGACTGAGACCAAGAACTCCTGGAGGTGTACACACACACACACACACACACACACACACACACACACACAGCCACAGCACGTCCTCTATTGTGTATATTTATCTATGGATGCCCCCACTATATGGTAACCTCCCTGCATGTGCTGCCTTACTGCACGATCCCTTTACACTGGTCACTAGTATAGTTGAGTGTTGACGCAGGTGTGTGGGAGTGACCCACCTTTACCTGTGGGCAGTGAACTCACCTGTCATTCCCTTTGCCACTGACTGTACAGGAAGCACAGGACGAGCAGCTGACGTCTGTCTCTACATGATGTTGACATGTGGACACATGATATTAGTATGTGGACAGCTGGTCCAGGACAGTGAGAACAGACTGTCTGCGTCTCTCACCTGAAGATTTCACACCAATGTAGAAACATGGACTGGAGTGAACGAGTGGAGCGACGTGACAACTGGAACATATTGGTCTCTAACTGGAAACACACTTCACTATTTATATGCAACTGCACACGCATGCAGACAGATACACGTTTAAACATGATTTAAATTGATCAACTTCCTGTGGTGCACATATCTCCATTCACCTCACTTCACCTGTGTGTGTATCACATGATGCAGTCACAGATCAGCTGGTTCTATGATCCAGTAGGTTTCCTCAGACACACTGAGGCATGTTAAAATCAAATCACAACATAGTGCAGTCATGGTCAGAGAGCCAGATATGATTATAATATTTTACTGGTCCAAACCACTAGAGAATGACGGGCGCAAAAACTACTGTCACTCCACGATGTGAGAGAAAGATGTTTACAGACAAGTCAGTCTGTAAAAGTCCACATGAGACCTGGATTACATCTAAACTAATGTTAATTAGCTTTAAATGTTATAACTAGTACTGAAAGCGTATTATAGAATGACATGATTCAAAACCTCACTATCAAATTCACTATTTATTGGTTTGATTTGACTGTTCAGTGTTTTGTGCATTAACATTAAGGATCATGAAATCATGAACATGGTGGTTTGGGTGGGAGGCTTAATAATAATAATCATAATAATAATAATAATAATGAGGATGTGATGGGGAGGATAAGTTTGATAACCCATCTCTCTGGGTACACTTTATATATTAGCATGATATTTATGAGTTTTTTTTGTATTCAGTGGTTCTTCTTATTCCTTCTCTTTTACACTGTTGTTGCATAATGTTGTTTGTGATAAATACATATATGCAGATATTATGACACGACAGAGGCTCCTCATTCAGCACAGAACAATGTACAGAAAGCTGTTCTTCTACCCACAATGCATTTTACTGTTGGCAAAAAAAGAACTTCCATCTGACTGTTGTGGTCACTTGTCATTGTAGTGTTAGTCATTAATCATCGACTTTTGCTGCTTAACGATGTCATCTCTTCCTAACGACGGTTCTTCCTTCTCTCTCTGTGTATTACTTGTAAAGGAACGGTTTGTTGGTTGTCTGTGTTAACATGGTGTGTGTAGCCTGCCCCCTAGTGTCCATTGTGTGTACAGGCTCAGATGAAGAGCCTACCTGTGGTACCATACTTTATTATATCATAGTCTATCGACCTGAAAGAAAGAAACTGGCCTTGTAAGATAAAACATGCGTTTAGGTTTTACATTCATTTTGATTTTTATGATGGAAAAATGATCTAATTTGTGCTGCTGCCAGAAACTTCTCAAAGGCTTTAAAAGATTTCCAGTTCACTCAGACAAAATGTATTTTTGTAACAGTATTCTTCTACATTTGGCTTTGGTGAGTTCACACAGAGAACTGAGTCCAGAAAACTGGCCCTCGGATCAAAACCAGGTCCTGGTCACAGGAGGACCAGGAGGCAGCACAAACTGGGTCTGTGAGTGGGTTTTAGATGTGTGGAGTCGTTGTTGTTATTTATATACCTTCTTTATAGACATGTAATTAACTCTTTAAACTGAACTGACTGATGCCTGTAAAAGGGACACTCTGCATTCTGACGCCACATTCAGGTACAGAGGAAAAAACAGAATCAAGTTTTTAATTCTTTTCAAGAGTTTAATTGTAGGAAGATGTTGTTGGTCTGTGCTTGCTCCAGTTCCTGCATTTAAACCACACAACCACTAATTCACTGAATGGAGACTCTTCCTTTAAAGAGACATTGGTAGTGATGTCAGACATGACCGAGTCTCCCTTTTCAGACAGCTGTTTTGTGCTCTTTTGAAATTGCATGACCGATGTTAGTGACTGACGCGTTGGACAATGGTGTGGTGGCAAGAAAGAGCGAGAGAAAGAAAGCACAATGTTGAATATTATTATTATGTATTTATGTGCAAAGATAAGCTGATATGTTGTGGTGGATTTTTATTTTTCTTACATCTGTATCATTCATGTTCTGCTGAAAAGGACTCATTCTCAACATTTTTGTACCTTACAGCCAATGGGGAAACTCTTCCTGAACACAGTGTCCAATCAGAGTCTTTGTAGTTCACATAGCCCTCCAATCAACACTCCTGTTGTATCCCATGCCATGTGACGCACCCCTGTGTGACAGCTCAAAGGAGAGGCGTTAGTGTGAGTGTGAGTGAGTGAGTGAGTGAGTGAGTGAGTGAGAGTTAGTGAGAGTGAGTGAGTGAGTCTGAATGAGAGAGTGAGTGAGTCAGTGAGTGAGTGGGTGAGTGAGTGTGAGTGAGTGTGTGAATGAGTGAGTGTGAGTGTGAATGAGTGTGTGAGTGAGTGAGTGAGTGAGTGAGTGAGAGTTAGTGAGAGTGAGTGAGTGAGTCTGAATGAGAGAGTGAGTGAGTCAGTGAGTGAGTGGGTGAGTGAGTGTGAGTGAGTGTGTGAATGAGTGAGTGTGAGTGTGAATGAGTGTGTGAGTGAGTGAGTGAGTGAGTGAGTGAGAGTTAGTGAGAGTGAGTGAGTGAGTCTGAATGAGAGAGTGAGTGAGTCAGTGAGTGAGTGGGTGAGTGAGTGTGAGTGAGTGTGTGAATGAGTGAGTGTGAGTGTGAATGAGTGTGTGAGTGAGTGAGTGAGTGAGTGAGTGAGAGTTAGTGAGAGTGAGTGAGTGAGTCTGAATGAGAGAGTGAGTGAGTCAGTGAGTGAGTGGGTGAGTGAGTGTGAGTGAGTGTGTGAATGAGTGAGTGTGAGTGTGAATGAGTGTGTGAGTGAGTGGGTGAGTGAGTGTGTGTGAGTGAGTGAGTGAGGGAGTGAGGGTTTAGGGGGGAAAGCAGAGCTCTGTATATAATGGCACAGGAACAGTGGTGTGTGCATGCTTCGAGCGGCTGAAGTTAACGTGGTGCACTGTAATTCTCCCAGAGGTCTTTGTGAAATGTCATGTCAGATTGTTTTTGATTAACACAATAAAAATATGCAGTTACTTAAAAATGAAATCCTGAAATCTGTTCTGAAGAAATCCTGACAGCGTTTAATGGAACTCGAAACAAACGGTTCATTCAGATCCTTGTTTTATTTAATCCACTTGTCTCAGCACTGGAGCCTAAATGATGTCATCTGCATTATGACCACATGGGGGCAGTTGTGCTGTGATGTATGGTGAGAGGTGAGAATCTCAGAGAGGTAACCTACTTCTTTTTAATGACTTTCCACAGTTTGTTACTGTTAAAAGTCTAAATTTTTATCTGTGTAAAACTTTAAAAAAGTAGGTGTCGTCCACATAAGCTGCCGGTTCCTCTCCTGCTACAGCAGAGGCCAGTGATTGACCTTTGACCTCCTGCTCAGGTAAGCACAGGGTCAACTGACCAGGTGAAAAACATATAAAGACTAACAAAGAAAAACACACTAACAAAGAAGTTCCTTGTTGTTGCTGACATCATCAGCTAAAACTAAAGTCCAAAGGCCAAAAGCTAAAGGCCCCCCACCCCCCAACCACGTCTCTCTGACTCTCCCTGAACATCCCTCTTGTTCCACCTGTGTCAGTGTCTCCATCTCTGACATTAAGACACTGTCTTGTAGTGGTCCCAGTGTTAAAGTGGTCTGTAGTGGTCTCTGTGTTAAAGTGGTCTGAGTGTTAAAATGGTCTGTAGTGGTCTCTGTGTTAAAGTGGTCTGTAGTTGTGGGAGTGTTAAAGTGGTCTGTAGTGGTCGGAGTGTTAAAGTGGTCTGAGTGTTAAAGTGGTCTGTAGTGGTCTCGGTATTAAAGTGGTCTGAGTGTTAAAGTGGTCTGTAATGGTCTCTGTGTTAAAGTGGTCTGGAGTGGTCTCTGTGTTAAAGTGGTCTGAGTGTTAAAGTGGTCTGTAGTGGTCTGTAGTGGTCTAAGTGTTAAAGTGGTCTGTAGTTGTCCCAGTGTAAAAGTGGTCTGTAGTGGTCTTTGTGTTAAAGTGGTCAGTAGTGGTCCCAGTGTTAAAGTGGTCTATAGTGGTCTGACTTTTTTTGCTTTGCTATACTATGACGTTTTTATGACTTTTTATGCCTTGCTATACTATGACTTTTTATGCCTTACTATACTATGATGTTTTTATGCATTACTATACTATGAATTTTTATGCCTTACTATACTATGACGTTTTTATGACTTTTTATGCCTTACTATACTATGATGTTTTTATGCATTACTATACTATGAATTTTTATGCCTTACTATACTATGACGTTTTTATGACTTTTTATGACTTTTCATGCGTTACTATACTGTCGTTTTTATGACTTTTTATGCCTCACTGTACTGTGACTTTTTATGCCTTACTATACTGTCACGTTTTCATGACTTTTTATGCCTTACTTTACTGTGGCTTTTTATGCCTAACTATACTATGTCGTTTTTATGATGTTTTATACTTACTATACTATGTCGTTTTTATGACTTTTTATGCCTCATTGTAGTATGACTTTTTATGCCTTACGATACTATGACGTTTTTATGACTTTTTATGGCTTACTATATTATAACTTATTATGCCTTACTATACTGTGACTTTTTACGCCTTACTATACTGTCATTTTTATGACTTTTTATGCCATACTATACTATGTCGTTTTTATGACTTTTTATGCCTTACT